AGCATCCATTGTTCATCAGTCTGCTGGTGGGAGGCTGGGAGTGATTGCCTTTCCATCGCTTGGTGGGGTTTTATTTTCTCCTTTACTTATTAAACTGTCTTAAGCTCAACCTATGAGTTTTCTAGCTTTTGCCCCTCACATTGTCTCCTCAGTTCTTCTAGGGGCTGGGGTGTGAGTGAGCAACTGGTTGGGGGCTTAGCTGCTGGCCACGGTCAACCCATTAGGCACACATGATGCTCCTTCAGATTTAGAATCATAGGCTCATTTTGGTTGGAAAAGTCCTTTAAGATCATTGAGTCCAAGTGTTAACCTAGCACAGTCACGTCCACCACTAAACCATATCCCTAACTGCCACATCTACACATCTTTTAAACACCCGCAGGAATGGTGATTCAAACACTTCCCTGGGCAGCCTGCTCCAGTGCTTGATAACCCTCTTGGTGAAGAAATTTTTCCTAATATCCAATCTAAGCCTCCTTCTGGCACAACTTTCACTGAATTTCACTGAATTTTTAGAGTTGGAAGGGACTATAGAGATCATCTAGTCCAACTGCCCTGCTGAAGCAGGATTGCCTAGAGCATGTTAGAGCATGTTACTCAGGACTGCATCCAGGTGGGTCTTGAAAATCTCCAAAGAAGGAGACTCCACAACCTCCCTGGGCAGCCTGTTCCAGGGCTCTGGCACCCTCACCGTGAAGAAGTTTTTTCTCATATTTGAGTGGAACCTACTATGTTCTAGCTTGTGCCTGTTGCCCCTCGTCCTCTCACTGGCAACTTGAGATCATTTCCTCTTGCCCTTTCATTTGCTACCTCGGAAAAAAAAAAAAAAAGACCAACCCTCACCTTGCTACAACCTCCTTTCAGGTAGCTGTAGAGAGCAATATGGTCTCCCCTCAGCCTCCTTTTCTCCAGGCTAAACCACCCCAGTTTCCTCAGCTGTTCCTCATAAGACTTTGTTCTCTAGACCCTTCATCAGCTTCATCGCCCTACCTTGGACACGCTCCAGCACCTCAACATCCTTCTTGTAATGAGGGGCCCAAAAATTTAATGGCCCTATTTCCAGATGAGAGATCCATTTGTAGTAATAAACAAATCATTTTTCTTTCCAAGAGGAGAAGATATTCCCCCCACCCCACCCCTGCCGCCCCCGGGGGACAAGAACACGGGAGAGAGCTAAGCTCATCAGGAACCAAAACCTTCTCCTTCTGTTCCCCCCCACCTAAGGCAATGCCGGGAAATAACGGCAGAGGGTTCTTTGCCATCGGGCTGCCGAAAGCCGGGGCTCCCCCGCCGCGCCCCGTTTCATCACCACGGACAGCGGCCGCCGCTGCCCCGGCCCCGGCCCCTCCCGCCGCCGCCTCTGCCCGTCCCGCCGCCGCTCCGCCGCCCCCCCGGTTCCATTGCCGCTTCCCGCCAGCACGGCCTTAAACGCGCCCGGATCTGCCTCGGGATGAGCTACATCGGTCCGATGAACGGAATTCAGAGATCGCTCCCAACCGCGCTACACAAGCCACTGTCTTTTACACTCCTCCTCCTTCACGTTTACCTTATACCTTTCAAGTCTAATTGAAACTCAATTCTGATTTCTAATTCCAATCGACTCAGATGTTGCAGGCTCCACAAGAAGTGCTACATTACACACTGCCGCCTGGTTTTGCGAGAACCCACGCCGCAGAAGTGAGAGGTTTTTAGAGTGAGGTGGAACAAGAGCTATTGAAGGACCAGATTTTTATTTTTTAACAGGGAAATGAAATGAGGCTGAATATGAGCCGGCAGTGTGCCCAGGTGGCCAAGAAAGCCAATGGCATTCTGGCTTGTATCAAAAATAGTGTGACCAGCAGAAGTAGGGAGGTGATTGTGCCCCTGTACTCGGCACTGGTGAGGCCACACCTCGAGTATTGTGTCCAGTTTTGGGCACCTCAATACAAGGGAGATATCGAGGTGCTGGAGCGAGTGCAGAGGAGGGCAACGGAGCTGGTGAGGGGGCTGGAAAACAAATCGTATAAGGAGCGGCTGAGGGAGTTGGGACTGTTTAGTATGTAAATTCAAGCTTAGGAGCTATTTTGTACTAATAAATATCTGACTCAAGAGTAGATACGCTGAAGTATGAGGGTGAACAATCATTTCCAAGAGAAGAATAAAATGACTTCATACAACCAGAAGCACAGGGCAAAAACAAATTAAAAAAAAAAAAAAAGACCAACCCTCACCTTGCTACAACCTCCTTTCAGGTAGCTGTAGAGAGCAATATGGTCTCCCCTCAGCCTCCTTTTCTCCAGGCTAAACCACCCCAGTTTCCTCAGCTGTTCCTCATAAGACTTTGTTCTCTAGACCCTTCATCAGCTTCATCGCCCTACCTTGGACACGCTCCAGCACCTCAACATCCTTCTTGTAATGAGGGGCCCAAAAATTTAATGGCCCTATTTCCAGATGAGAGATCCATTTGTAGTAATAAACAAATCATTTTTCTTTCCAAGAGGAGAAGATATTCCCCCCACCCCACCCCTGCCGCCCCCGGGGGACAAGAACACGGGAGAGAGCTAAGCTCATCAGGAACCAAAACCTTCTCCTTCTGTTCCCCCCCACCTAAGGCAATGCCGGGAAATAACGGCAGAGGGTTCTTTGCCATCGGGCTGCCGAAAGCCGGGGCTCCCCCGCCGCGCCCCGTTTCATCACCACGGACAGCGGCCGCCGCTGCCCCGGCCCCGGCCCCTCCCGCCGCCGCCTCTGCCCGTCCCGCCGCCGCTCCGCCGCCCCCCCGGTTCCATTGCCGCTTCCCGCCAGCACGGCCTTAAACGCGCCCGGATCTGCCTCGGGATGAGCTACATCGGTCCGATGAACGGAATTCAGAGATCGCTCCCAACCGCGCTACACAAGCCACTGTCTTTTACACTCCTCCTCCTTCACGTTTACCTTATACCTTTCAAGTCTAATTGAAACTCAATTCTGATTTCTAATTCCAATCGACTCAGATGTTGCAGGCTCCACAAGAAGTGCTACATTACACACTGCCGCCTGGTTTTGCGAGAACCCACGCCGCAGAAGTGAGAGGTTTTTAGAGTGAGGTGGAACAAGAGCTATTGAAGGACCAGATTTTTATTTTTTAACAGGGAAATGAAATGAGGCTGAATATGAGCCGGCAGTGTGCCCAGGTGGCCAAGAAAGCCAATGGCATTCTGGCTTGTATCAAAAATAGTGTGACCAGCAGAAGTAGGGAGGTGATTGTGCCCCTGTACTCGGCACTGGTGAGGCCACACCTCGAGTATTGTGTCCAGTTTTGGGCACCTCAATACAAGGGAGATATCGAGGTGCTGGAGCGAGTGCAGAGGAGGGCAACGGAGCTGGTGAGGGGGCTGGAAAACAAATCGTATAAGGAGCGGCTGAGGGAGTTGGGACTGTTTAGTATGGGGAAGAGGAGGCTGAGGGGAGACCTCATCACTCTCTACAACTTCGTGAAAGGACACTGTAGAGAGGTTGGTGCTGGTCTCTTCTCACAGGTAATTAGTGACAGAACGAGAGGGAACGGCTTCAAGCTCCAACAGGGTAGGTTTAGATTGAACATTAGGAAAGAATTTTTCACCGAAAGAGTGGTCGGGCATTGGAACAGGCTGCCCAGGGAGGTGGTTGAGTCACCATCCTTGGCTGTGTTTAAGGGCCGTTTAGATGCAGCGCTAAGGGACATGGTGTAGGGGAGGACTCTGTAGAGTAGGGTAGATGGTTGGACTCAATGATCCCAAGGGTCTCTTCCAACCTAGACGATTCTATGATTCTATGAAATGCCAAAATAGTTCTATTCAAAACAATGTTTGATTTCAAAAATGTGCCCTTTCCACTCTTTTTTGTTGTTGTTGTTTTTCTATTTCTGCTCTATTTCCATTTTGATGTAGGAGTAAATATCCTACCCACACAGTTTCAGTGCAGCATCAGGGGGCTGGGTCGTACCCTACAGTTTGGTCCCCGTGAACTAAGTGGTGATCTTGGGCTGCTTTCAACGTGCAGCAGAGACGAAGAGGAGGGGCAAGACATGGGCACAGAACCACTTCAGCAACTCACACTATTTTAAACTTCAGAAACTTGTTCTTAGTCCTATTCTCTGGCTGGTCATGGACTGTCAAGCTCAGGGCAACAAACACTACCCAATTCAGTTACTGGTTGTAGCTAAAAATACCATTCTCTTGGCATAAGAGAGGCTTCAGCACATACAAGAAAAAGCATTCAGCATGGCAGATAAAACTAAAAGGCTGAATGCAAGACTGCATCACAAGAAATAAAGAACACATCAAAAAGCTCAACACCTCATGAGCTACGTCTCCCAGCTACCGTTCCTGAAACAGAGGGACAGTGCTCTATTGCATTTTAAGCACCACAAATCCAAGATGTCCCACTGCATGCGCTATCCTCCAGCACACAGAAGAAAGAAGAACCAACACCATCAGTGAGGTTATGCTTTGAGGTTGACACTAACAACTGACAGTCTGAATTATGCTTTGAGGTTGACACTAACAACTGACTGACAGTCTGAGGAAGCAGCAGAAGCAGAAAGGGAGGCAAAAAGAAGTGAAATAAAATTGCATTTTAAAAATTCTGTCCCAATGCAAGCCTTTTCAAAACAAAATATGTATCTGCCACCAAAACAAACGTTCCACAGGAAAGGCCGAGTATCTCACACGCTCTGCAGTACTTTATGCTTTTTTAAATGAAGGACAGATACTAAACTGCCTTCCCAGATAAGCAACCCCTAAGCTGGGGGACAGAAGACATGGGCTGTTCAGTTCTCATACGATCCTCGGTACCTCTGCCCGAGCCTGCTAATGAGAATAGGGACAATAGTGCGAAATAACCCAATACTGAAACACACCCCATGTTCTACAGCCTATTCTGCATCTTTATGACACACTGCATGGCAACACAAAAAACTGTGTAGGGTGCAAACATCGTTTGAGACACTACTGATCACCCCCAATCTGTCTAGTCTCCTGGATTTGATGTTATGCAGTTACCTCTTCATCCTCATCCTCATCTTCAACATCCAGGATACCCGAATCTTGCTCAGACATGGGGCTAGTGTTTTTTACCTCCAGATCTGAGCTTGCGCAGACTTCTTTCTTGGACTTCTTCCCCCCGCTTATCCTTGGATGCTGTGATACAATATTGTCCAGGTTTCTTTGCTGCTGTGCCTAGAAAAAAAGCAGATTTCACCTTTTACGATAGCATCCTCGGATTACTATTTTTTTTTCAGCCAAAAGATGTAATCAGCCACGAAATATGACAAATGAGACAAAATAAAACACGCACTTAATGGAACTTCGAAATGTTATGTTTTTCCTAACCCAGATATTCCAAAAAACCAGAAGATTCATTTCAAAACCATTCCAGGGATTATGCAACAATACAAACAATATTCTGACTCTTCACAAATCAAAATGCCAAACCCATCATACTGTCATATTGATCTATTTACAGCACAGATGCAGAAATATTAGCCCATAGGCCATGTGGTGACTGTCACAGGCTAAATTAAAGGACGTACTTAACCGTTGGATTTGTTCCTCTTTTCAACCCATGTCAGCACAAAACATTCCACATCTGGACCCCAGAGGTTCCTGAAAGCATTTTTGTGGTACCCCAGGAGAGCTTAATTGTACGCTGCTGATGTACAGAATGAGCTGTAAAAGGTATTGAACCAAGATTCGCTCACTGGGAGAAGCACCAAGATTCAGGGTGCAAAACACATGGACTCGATGGAGCTCCCTTGTACGGCTGCTGATACGCATTCCCAGGGCTTTGGGGTTTGTTTGCAGCGAGTTCAAATGTGCGTGCTCTGCTGCAAAAACTCACTCGGTTCCCTCATTGTTACTGAGCACAATATTTGACAGGAAAAATGGTTTAGCCCCAATTGTTCAAGAGAGTTGACCAAGAACTTCAAACTGAAGGGGAAGGGCAAGGAGCGGGAATGATGTAGAGACACTGTTCTCACCACAAGTGCCAAATTATGGCCAAAACAAGGGGGAAAAGGCCAAGCCAATAGATATGTGGTTCTGCACATGTGGGCTTATACTCTGGTGTAACTAGAAATTAAACACTCTGAAAACCTGAAATGTATATGGATACACAGATTTATAGAATCCCTCCCATGTTTTTCTATATTTTTTTATATTTAAGAAGAAAAGTATATGGAAGTGATCCAGATGTCTTTCTGAAAGTGCAATTTTAGATGGCAGGTTTCTTTTTAAAAAAGAATGAGGTTTTTTTATGTATTTCAGTTATTAATATAGACTCTGTTTCTAGCAATTAGCAGTACAATCCAAATCAAGCCTGCCTCTGAGTATTTTATTGCTTCTCTTGAACAGGAGACAAATGAGGTGGCGTCCTCTGCCCCACACTAACATGACAGCCTGGCTTAAGAAGGAATACTAGAAACCATTGTCCCTGAAACCAACTGTGGAAAACAATGGAGAATTAAAACAAGTGGACCCTAGCAAAAATAATTAGTGTTTTTTTCATATCTGAACTGCAGAAAGTATAAAGCTCCATTTGGAGTGCAAACCTTCAAAATTATTTCCTTTTAAACACTTAGAAGTATTAATATCACACAAAAATAATTTATGAGCAAGTTTTATTTTGACAGCCTCTCTCAGCTCAACTCCCTTTGAATCTCTCCTTGGGAAGAAAGACCCCATCAGAGACTGATCACTTGTGAAGTTTCTAGATCTGAAGAATATTAAAACCCAAGCCCGGCACAGATACCCCAACCCTTGCAAAATTCACTGGGCTCTACTGCTGTGAAACCAAAGCGCCCTTCACACCGTGAACATACAATTGGCTTGGTCTTAATTGCTAAAAATGGCAATTGATAGTAAAATTAAATATATAGAACTGACAGAGGACGTGGTTGCACCAGGAACTGGAGCTAAACCTTACATGATGAGCAGCCCTGAGCTATGCCATAGCACAATCTTGACCTCTAGTGGTTAGAAAGTAGTATGATCCTTGATGTTTACTACAAGTGCTCCTCAAAGAGGAGTGATGGCTGAGAAAGGGGACTACCAAACAAGAGTATTAAAAAGATCTCTTAAGGGATGAGTCTCGACAATAGGATTTTTGCAACAAAGCCACAGGAGAAGGTCTGCGTGAACACTGCCGAAGACAAATTTTGCTAGCAACGTCAGTACTTGAAGCAACTGGGGGGAAAGTGGTATTTTTTGCATTAGAAATCTTGAACTTCAGAGACGACTCTATAGAAAGACATTGCAACATCACATAAAGAGAATTAGGACTTCAAAAAGGGGAGTGAGCATTTGGTCCTTCTGAAGCCCACACAACAAAGAGATTCGAGGCTTGATTCCACTCTTAGATACGCCCATTTATGACATAAGTTACTCAACTAAAGCGTAATGAAGTTATAACACTGAACCCACTGGAAATTATACCAAAAGCAAGCCCACTGTATTCATTAAAATCTCTCAAATTTATGTAATCTTTTTTCCTCTAGAAAGGGAAGAAATCAAAGAATGGGAAAATGCAAAGTTTTGGATAAAACTTTGTGCTTTAAACGGATCATTAAACAGGGTGTAGCAAGATCACAGCAGAAAAAGTGGTCATGGGAGAGGAAAAATCTGGACTAGTACAAGCTGAAGGATGCTGCTGCCAGCTCTGAACTTCACTGCTGAAGCCCTAAGCATGTAACATTCGGCATTTTAGGCTGAACACAGAATTAGTCGCAACAGAGGACCCTGTGGACCTGTTCTCACAAGACACATTATCTTACTCCTTCACCTCTTTTCAAACTAGAGGTGTTAATGTCATCCTTCACCTCTGGCTATGCTAACAAGAGAAGCCCAGTAGTACATGACATCTATTGGCCAGATATCAATATTGCTAAGATCCAAAGCAAATATTGGTAAGACCTGATAAATACCAGTATTGATAAAACCTCCAATTCAAGAAAGTCTGTCCCTCTAGAAAAAAAAAATAAAAAAAAGTCACTCTAGGCCAAGGAGTTCAACATCCAAATTCAAACAGCACGTTTCGCATTTTCCATACATTAAACATATATAAACTGAAGTTTATCAAGAGAAAAATTTTGGTCTGAATTAATGTCCAGGGACCTACTGGGAAAAAGAAAAAAAAAAAAAAAAAAGTCCCACCTTCCAGAGATCCACAAAAAGTAGCCAGAGAAACACTCTCCAAATGCATAAAAGCTTTGCAGCCCACCAAGAGCAAGTTTTATCTTTAGGAACTTGAGGGGAGGGAAAAAACCTGCAAAAATAGAAGAGATCTTCTACCGATTTCTACCTGGAAGACCAACAAAGGGCCCCAAAGTAACCCATTTGCTGTTTATTCCCTTCCAGCACACTGGTGCACATGGCAGGACAAAACCCCCATCTCGCACAGCCACCGCTCCATCGCCGCACGATGGGCACAGCCCATCAATAGCCGTTGGGGAGCCTGAGGAGTCAGTGTGATACAAGCAGAGCCCATAACCTAGGTGTTATGCTGGAACAACACAACGTACACGCCAGAAATAATAGTAATTGCTTTTCCATTATCGGGAGGGCATTTCCCCCACCCCCACTCTTGGCAGGAAACAATCTGGACTGAAGTGACCTATAAGTGAGAAATATCAAATTTTCTTTAACTTAGGCAGGCTTGGGTGAAGTCACCAAGGTTTCAGTTTCACCTTGAGCGAAAAAGAGAGCTGGGGAGAGGCCCAGAGGAAGCAACTAAGGAGAAATTTGGGCTTAACCGCCAAGGAACTCCCTGCTCCTACCCCCATCTCGTTACACGCACCTTCCTGGGCTGGGGGTGCAGTAGAACAACTGCAATATATTTGATGTCGCACATAAAGGATGAAAAATGACCTGCAGAGCAGACACATTTGGATTTTAATGTTCTGTTTCACATAAAGGCATCTGTAGGGAGCCCAATGAAGAGGCACACTTTAGAAACCACATCAAAGCACAGGCGACACTCCAGCGTGCCCTCTGAAAACAGAGGGGCCTGGGGCTACGGGGGAGGCGAAAAGCCCTCGAGAGACAAAAATCAAATAAAAATCCCCTTACCTTTTGGTGTGGTTTACTTGAAAGCAAGTGCATTTTTGTATTATTCTGTAAAATTGCCTCTATTATACAAGACTATCAATCTCTTGACTCTCTGCTTAATGTGACGATAAAAAAATAAAAAAAGGGGGTAAGAAACCAAATGTCTGTTCATAGCTAACATTACATTAGCAATAACACACAAAGCGTTTGGTTCACATAGCTGAAACTCCCTCCAAGCACAGCTACTTTCCTCATCCATGTGATTAGCACAGCAGCCTGGCAGCCTCCTTGCAGCACAGGAACACCCTACACTGCTCTGACACGGCAGAAATCCCAGTCCCCCTGACAGCAATGCTATTTCCAGACTGGTTGATAGAAGAAGCAAAGGCAGCTTTCCCCCTCAAGGTTCAAATTTAGGTCAGTGACCTATGTTTGCTGTTGTAACTGGACTGGGGTTGGCCATCGGGCAGTTTAGAGACCTTCACCTCTACAGCTGAGAAGCTGGTAGGTTTTGTTGGCTGAATGCAACCAGAAGAATCAATCTCTCTTGCTGTTGTTCCTTGAGAAACAGAGAAGAAAAGGAACGAGGGGGAAAATGCACTTCTATCTTTATCATGTTTTCTCTCCCCAGCCATCCGCTTTTTTTATGTTACCTGTACACCACTCCGCCAAGTGCTCGACCTTGCAGGACATGGCTTTGGGGGTCTTCCCCTCAAGCCTGTCCTACAGGAGTCCTAAAAACAAGTCCTCAATACTTCCCAGTCGATCCTGCAAGCTTTGGAAGAGCGACTCTACCTTCACCACCCATCGCAATTCAACCAAGTCAACCCAACGCACCAAGCTCACAGACCTGACATTCTGCATGAGAAATTAAATGTATTGGCTTAAAATGAAAACACTAGTGACAAAGAGTAGTTGAATTTTTCAAAGTAACCTGACTTCTTGTGATCAAGCAAACACAGCCCCAAACTTGCAACCCACAACTTCATAGCTAAGATGGGGAATGACACAGAGTAGCAAAGCAGGTCACAGTCTCCTCCAGGCTCTGCCTTCAGAAGTCATCCCCACCATAAGGGAAAGTTGTTATACCACCTACATGGGGAATGAGTTCCTTTAAAACTCAAATAGGTTTTTAT